GAGATATTGTGTCAAAGACTCGTGGTAGGACTACGATGAGTTAGTGGTGGGATAATATTGTTTTAGGGAGTGGTCTGCGAACTTGTGAGCTCGTATATGTTTTAGGATGACATCGACTTGTTGAATGCGATGGTAGGTCTCGAGATGACGTTTGAGCTGTTCACAGATCAAATCCAATTAAAAATATTTCTCAATTTTAAGCCCGAAGTACGTGATCGATATTTAGCCTTTTATATTTAAAATTAATTTATATTCTTTGTTCTATGGGGTTAATTGATTGGGTAAGTGCGTCTATATGCTTGCTTGCCACTATTATATACATTATTTTTTCATGAAACCAAAGATTATTTTAATAATAAGAAGATGAATGGATGTTTAATAATTTTGAAGTAGAATGTACTCTATGGTGATGTTAAATGGATGATGACACTACTGCTAGAAGTAAATGTATATTTCACGACTAATTAATGTGTACCTATCTGCTCACGCTTGGATAGGTTCATCCTTGATGTAGTTGAGGAAGAAGGTTTTTGGTTCAAGAGCCTGAGACTGTACCCTCGATGAAGGTGCTTGCTTTCGATATAGTGAACGGGATTAATGGACGCTGAATATCAAGGGACTATCCTAAGCTAGGGTACTCAGAATATCGCTTTTGATAATCGGACACTTACCCTTTTGGTTGCTAGTTATTTTAATTTTAACTTCTTGATGAATAACCGAAAGATACCTTTAGCCTGCGTTAGAAAATCTTGTAATCCACAGTAAAGATGAAAACTAAGAGAACTATGACTTCTTCATGAAAGATTATTTTGAAGTCAACCTTACACCTGGCTTATTGTCATGTAATATGTGATATTGTTTGCTTTTAGCCATTGCATGTGTAATCTCTTTAATTCAAATTATCTGTGTAACCTATCGTGTGGTATCATTCTTGATGAATGTATTAGAAGTTAGAGATTCCATGTTCTTGAATAGAAGCCTAGTTATACAGTGTTTTAGTAGTCGTAAATTATCATAAAAGTATGTCTATAAGAATATTATCTCAGGGCTTAAATTGAAGACGCCTTTAGATGGTCTAAGTGACCATTAAATATGAGAGCTATACAGAGATAATATGATATGCACCGCTATATACTATAGATATATAATGCTAATTAAAGTACTAGTATGAAAATAAATAAATTTCAGCAAAAATCAACATTAATTTTAGCAAAAGCAATTATATGTCATTGGTAACTAAATAATCATAACAACGAAATTAATCATTTTAACTTGGTAATTTTGCTGTTAATATGATCATGTATATTAGAAACATTGAAAGAAACTGGTATATTTCAGTTTTAACAACTTTATTTTTTTATATTATATCTATTGGTAGAAGTGATGTAATCGAAAAGAAAGTTTGTATTCAAAAAATTATATTGTTTTTTAGTTCAATAATTTTTACGAAATTAATAAACATTCTAAACTATTGAAACTTGCTTTCACTAGAAAAAAACAGAAACGGTTTTGTTATAAATAGCAGTGATTTATTCTGTAACTAATCAAATATTTGCATTCAATTTTAAATTTATTTCGAATTTTATTTAAATTTTATCCATTGGGATTAATTTAAAAAAAGAAAACAGTTGTGATTAGTTTTGTAAATCTAGTGTTAAGAGATGGAACTTATGAAATGTATGATTACCTAATTTCTATTTTAAAATTAAATACTGTTTTTCAACATTTAAAACTTATTTCAAATTTTTCTACAACAAAAATAATTATTTGCTATTAATATTATTATTTCTAGAAAGATTGGAAAATATTTATATCCGTGCAATTAGTAGATTCATAAATATAAATTCATTTATGTCGACGGAAAATACTGAGATCAGCAGAAATTGGAAATTTTTATTAATAGTATCTCATTAAAAACAAATTAAATTATTATTTAGCAATGGCCATGCATCCTATATGTAAATTTCGAATTACTTATTCAAAATGTTTATGTCATAGCAAGTGCTTGATTTAATCTCAAAAAATTAATTCCCTCGTAAATTCCATCCCGTAACCATATGCATACATTACAGTATAAAACACTGTAATGTATTACAGCTTAAAATTCGAAATTAAAAAGATAATTATTATAAGATAAAGTATTGTTTCCTGGAAATTTCTCAATTTTGGTATGTTAATAAAGATTTAGTGCTTAGTTTTTGCAATTTTTAATTTAGAACTAAAAACAAAATAACTCAAAATAAAATATTATTTAGGTCGAAAAAGTTGTTTGTAATATGTATCAAATAAATTTCAAGTGTAAATTAACGTGGATTAAGAACAGTTTGAGTCTGCATACAAGTCATCTGGTAATTAAACTGATCACCTGTATTTTTTAGAAATTTCTTAATTCCAATAGCCACTGAATATAAAATTGGTGTTTAATTCTTCAGATACCAAATACATATTAATAATTCTCAAATTATAAGTAAAAATAAATGAAGCAACTAAAATTAAAAATATACGTAATATTAAGGAATAATTATTTTACAGAGAGATATGATTACAGAGTCTTACAAGTTAGTTTCGTTCAGGGGAATAGGGGTGTTAGGTATGCTTGAGAAGTTTCTTGGTTCCCTGCGGGATATTCTCTAGATTAACTGATTTCAGTGGACTACATAATAAATTATACAAAAATAATAAATATATGTGGGTACAATATACTACCTGAAATTTATATAAAATAATTCCTTTTAAAATTACGTTCAAAATAAATGAGGAAAATTTTTTTATTTTGCAAAACAAATTATTTTGTAAGTTGACAAAATGATTACAAATCTGAGCAAATTTTTATAGATAACTAGACAGTAAAATTACCATTTGGTTTTAGTTATAAAATTTTGTAAATTTCAATGATTAAGAATATTTAATACTTATTATGAGTATTATGTGTCATCGATGCAAATGTTATATTATAATTTAATAAAATTTGTATAAAATAAAATGTGTTTATATTGTGACAGAAGACATCGATATATAAATTAATATTAGAATATATTGTTAAAAAATTGGATTAAAGCACTACGAAATAATTATTTTATTTATCGATTATCCTGTTAATCGAATAAAAATTGAAATGCATATATGTAAAATAAATATTTATATCATAAAACGAATACTCTAATATATAAACTAATACAAAATATATTTTAAGAAAAATAAAACAAAATACTCAGTCTAAATAATTTTATATATCCAATACTTTATTTTATTTATTAATTGTATTTAATCAATACAAAACCAATATAACAGTTTAATAAAATTAGTATAAAAATATGTGCGTTCACAGCGCAAAAAAGACCACAAAACGTGAAATAATATTAAAATATACATATGTTAGAAAAATTATATTAAAATAAAATAAAGTAACTGTCCTAAGTAATTTATATATCTAATTAAGTTATCTTAATTATTAGAAAATTAAATAATAAAAATTATCTTATCTATTTTATGCATTTTTCTTGTAAAAGTTTCTCACGTGTAAACATAGTGGCGAAAGATCTAATCTCAGAACGGAAAGAATTGCTGCTCCTAGATTCATCAATCTTCAAGGATAATGTTCATTTAAACACTGTCATACTAGTCTTCCTTAATGTTTCAGGTACCATTTAATTGTACCTACGCACTTTTATGAGAGAATAGCGTAACACATAAGAACAATATTCGAAAATCATTGCTTACTGAAATAAAAGTTGGTTTCAAAAAGTTTTTCAAGATTTTATAGTATGTAAAAATTGGCAAGAAACAGAAACGTGTGAAATAAATTATTTTAATAAGTTATAATAAATTTTCACATTTTTCTCATCATTAAAGTATAATATTCTTTTTCAAAAATATTACGTAAGCACTTGTTCTTAATCTTAAGTAAGATACTTTTTAATATACTTGTTTCAATATATGTATTTCTACCGTGTATTCATTTTGTTATTTATTATGGGAAATGATAGTACAATTTATATTACTCTTGATAATTAGAGACATTAATTAGAATCAAGTCTATAGTTATAATTGACTAATTAAAAAATTATTTCATTGACACTGTTTAAAAATTAAATAGATTTCAATAAGGTTATTAATTTTAGAAATATAAAATTTTATTGTTTGCATTCTTCGAGTATTTACTATCAATATAATATTATATAAATCGCGTAGCAGAATAGTGATTTAAAGAAATAATAATAAATTAACAAAAATTGAAAGTAATAAAATTTTCTACCATGTTTATCTATCACAGTAACAAGAAAACAGTTTCATTTTTTATTTAACCCAAAAAATCAAAAGTAGTTCTAATATTTAATTGATAATTTTATATTTATACAATATTTATAAATTTATCATCCAATATTTATGTTAATTAATTACAATATTAATGCAATTAATAATAATAATTACTGATATTAATATTAATAGTAGTAATACTGAAACGAACCTGTCAATTGCAAATGATGAGTTAATTCTGAACGTAATAATTAATTATGGTCGTAATAATTAATTTTCTCATCAATTCTTTGATATATATTAAGTACACGTTACTTTACATTTTCATTTGTTTAAATCAAAGTCGATCTAATTAAAATTGATTCTTTCTTAGAAACTTTTAAGTATATGACTACAGCAAATTTTGAGTAATATGTCGTACGCTTTGCGGTATAATAATATTATTAATATTAACCCTTTGCACTCGGTGATTTTCTCGTTACAGAAAAATAATAATTCGAAGATTTTCTGTCATAAAGTGGACGATATTTCTAAAAAAATAAGGAATCGTATGCAAATTAAGACGTAGAATTATTTTACTTCGATATTCCACGCAACATTGGGTAATTGTAAATTTGATATATTAATTAACATCCATCTTAAATGGCGACTGAGAAGCGCCTTTCGAGTGCAAAGGGTTAATATCGATAATCGTTAAGTGAATCAATACAAAAACTAGTTTAGCTTCTTTCCATTATTCTTACCTTCATCACCGTAACCAGTACGTATAGTTTCTCCATCTTCTCGTCTCCATGTGATATTTGGTGTTGGAAATCCTTTCGCAGCACAGCGTAGCGTAACGTTACTGCCTTCTCTGACTATCATATCCGTGCTCGTCATATAATCCAAAATATTTGGTGAAACTGAAAATAGAAATATTTCAAATTACATTAAGAAGGAAAAGTTCATTTAAAAAAATATATTAAGCCTATCAAACAAATATTGATGGATCTTTCAACGCTAAAATACATAATTACTATCACTGTATAAGGAGAGGAGAACAGAGGGCTGGGTTAAAATAAGTCTATCACTCGGTGGCCAATTGTACTTTATTCCGTTGGATACAATGTTCACACGCCACTCTCACTTTTAAAGGTGGGCTGTTGGGATTTATTAATACTTTGACTGCCACGTTGGTCATATATGACCGGCCATGGTTTCTCCTGTGACGCCACGGTGGTCACTGGTGATCGGAGCGCTTGAACTACTTACAATTATAAAAATTGAATGAAAATTGACAGTTATTCAATTGTCAACCGTTACCAAGGCACCACGGTGATCAACCGTGACCGACAATAAGATAAACGCTCCATTGGGTAACAATATTGTCTTATCTCATCAATTTATTATTATTTTGCCATTATATGCTTTGAATAATAGAAATACTCCCGTGACGTCCTGAGCGAAACATGTGATTTCGGCGGGGCAGTCAAAGGGTTAATAAAGTAGGGAAATAAAATACAAAGTAATCACGAATATTCACGGCACACACGTGATGGGCATACACCGGTCGCAATCGTTCTTACGATTCTTACGCCAACAGACGACGATCGTCTTCCTGCGCGCGTTCATTGTGCATACGCGCAGGGCCTTATTGTTATTTAGCACGGTCCCAGTATCGATCGCATATTGATCGCATATCTTACATGGGCCTGCTTTGTTAATCCGCCGCGCAGATCAAGCGGATCGCCGTTTCGTTTTGAGACTCCGGTTATCACTGCTACGTGCTCGTCACTCACGCCGCCTTATCGGTAACTGGAGCTCGCTTACTCTCACATACACTTACAACTGCTTATCCAGTTATAAAACAAATATTTATTATTCCACTTTCAAAGTTCCTTTGTTATAAATACTAATTTAAGAACAGATAAATAATGATGTATTTTCTTTTCATTGACATTTGCAACCAACTTACGACATTTACCAAGCATAAGCTTACTTAGGATAAAGCTAAGGATTATGAGAGGAATCTTTATTTGGATGGCGTCACCCTGCATCGAGATCTATTCTTACTTACTAAGATGTTTATGTTGTTTACAAGTTTCAACGAATGAACAACAGAATTAACGCAAATAACAAATTGAATTTTCAAATTTTGAAAATTGTTCGAATAATTTTTAGATGTAACGTTATTTAGAGTGACATAGAGGTAGCCTAAGCAATTTCAAGCTGTACACAATTTTACCTGAGAATGAACAAGGTGCAAAAGTATGTGAGAGGAGTCTTTATTTGGATGGCGTCACCCTACATCGATATATATATGTTTGCTTCGAGGGACCATCAAGATTATCAATTCTCGAAGCAGGACCAAGTGACGCAATGAGTCGTCATAGGGCTTATAAAAACCTGGCCGAACGGTTCAAGGGAAGACACTCCTTCAACAGTCAACGATTTGCATCACGCATCGTACAAGACTCAAGCCTTCGCATACTTGTATCGCCAGAGAATAAAATATAAATCAAAGTATAAAGTTAAATCTTTATAAACCCGATCCTTTTTACCACAAGTATTTCTTTTTTAAAATATAAGAATGTTTTTAAAGCATACGCATTGAAATTTCTGGTTGAGAAACAATGGTAGATAATCGAGGGCAATTTATAGCGGATTAAGAAATAAATTGGACTTGAGAAGATTAGTATGATTTATCATCACAGGATCCGATATTATTTTCCGATCAACACATTATGAAAAGTCAATTGAGTTCAATATCGATTGTCAATATGTTCTTTGCTTTCCCTTTAAATATTTACCTTCGATTATTAGCATAGTGCTGTCATACATACAATTTATTTTTTCTAATATAATTTTAAATCAATAAATTACAATTTAACTCTTTAACTGCCATGCCGAAATCACATGTTTTGCTTAGAACACCACGGGAGTGCACCGCTAGATGCAAGATTTATTCTAATATTTTTTTAATCGATCTTATAATAAAAATTTGTAATTTTGCAATGAAGTACTTTTTATTTCAAAGTATCTTCTAATTGACGGTTATATTCAAAATGCGCTAATTGTCAATTTTCATTCAATTTTGATAATTATAGTTTTACAAATAATTCAAACGTTCTGATCACCAATGACCACCATGGCGTCACAGGAAAATCCATGGCCAGTCATATATAACCAACGTGGCAATCAAAGTGTTAACTAATACACCTCAATTTAGATCATAATTTATACGACTGTTAATGACTGCTATTTTAGTAGTAAATGATTTGTGTAATATCATAATTTGGTGAAGGGTATTGAATCTCTTAAGGACTTTAGTACTTATGAAAATTTATTACTATATTTAAATTTCTCGCTAAATTTTTATTGAATTAAATTTTTATTGAATAATGGCGAAATTAATTCCAAAGGGCTTTAATTTTGTTCCATTAAAATTATATTTAATTACGATGACATTTATGACATTTATGTTGTATATTTAGTGGAAATATGATATATTTATCACCATTCGTTCTTCCGAAATAAATTCCATTGTCTTGAAAATTGTTTCATTAATATATTTTCGAGGATAATTAGAACAGGCGATAATAGACGATTCCTATACTTATTGAACTTTTAAATTTGTTTTTTTTTAGAAATATATTCACAATGGTCCGGATATTAAATGAAAATTATTTTAAATTTCTAATGGACCTATTAGCAAAGGTAAGTAATTAACGATACAGTACCTGGCCAGAATCTGCTTCCTAAGACTTCTCCCTTAAAACTTATTACGCATTACAGTACACGTGCTATTAAGCAAAGAGTAAAGTTGAGTAACGAAGTTGCTAGGATTATCGCCGAACGCTGAACAGAAATTCAATCGAGGCTAAGAAGATACTCTGGCTTCCTTGAATTCTCAACCAGCACGATTAAAATCACGTTTATTATTTTATTAATTATTTCGTGAGTTAATTTGCTATAAACATATATTATTCACTGGTAATTTGATATATAACTATAATAATTCCCCTTTTGTTTTCTTTTTCAAAGCGGAATATTTTTGCAACTCCTTTCTTCCAAATATTTTTGTCATTCTTCTTTCCTACGATTCTTTTTTTATTTGATATCATGGTATAATACAATATTGTGTCAGAAACGTTCAACATTTGACAATGAAATTTCAAAATACAACAAAATTTTTTAACATCTTTTCACCAATTTTTTCCAACCACTTTGTTTACGTTCAATATTGTTTCGAATACAGTATAACTTTGTACCAGGTAAATTCAACATTTAACAAGTAAAAATAGCAATCCGTCAAGATAAAATGTAATTATTATAATTTTCCGTTATTTTTATGTTTTTTTTCCAAATTAGAGTATTTTTTAGACATCTTCTTTGAAATTCTTTTATTATTATTTTTTCTTCATTCAATATCTCGATGAATGTTTCTATACGAGATAAACTTAACGATAAACTTAATATTAAACAATGAAATCTTTCATACTGCCAAAACAAAATATAATTATTGTAGTTTTTTGTTAATTTTTTCTTCTTAATTAGAATATTTTCTTAACATTCTTTTCTCTAATTTTTTCCTTGTCATTTATTTTTTATTCAACATTGTACAGAATACAATATAATTTTTAATTATGTAAATTTATTATTGAGCAAAGGAATTTCGAAAGTGACAACAAAACGAGTTCAACAGTAAGATCGTTTCTGTGTAAAACTTATAATTAAAAAACGGGGGATAATTACATTCGGAAAAATTGCATTCAAGAATTTAATAAATATTAATAAACAAATTGGTACTTTTTATTTCGCTATAACTTACGGACAAAATTTTTTAACTAATTTTATCAGAAAAGCAATTATATTTACTCTACTGTATGAAAAATACAATTACCCATTCAAAGTCACTAAAAAATACACCCTACCATAACGTTTAACTGCTACACCATTCTGCCTTGTGCTTTTCGTCTTCTTGCTTATTCTACATTTTTGCTTGTTTTAAAAACAGTACACGGAAATATACATATTGTCTACTTAAAATGTATCAAGTTGAACGCGCAGTGTTGAATGGAAAACATACTGACGTTAGTCACAGAGGAAACAATGATGTTTATGAATGACAAACATAATACAAATGTAAATGTTGTATAAAATATAAATTGCATGCGAATATCACATAAAATGGAATATAAACATGAAGATTATATGAAGTATTATGCAAATAGGCATATTGCATGAAAAATAACATAACTACGAATATCACACAAAATTTATTACAAACGTACATATTATACATAATATAATAATTTAAATTAGAATACTATATAAAAAAAATATACATACGAAAAATATTATAAATATACATATTACGTAAAATATAATATAAATAAGGATATTATATAAAATATAACATAAATATGAATATCACATAGAATATAGTGGAAATGTAAATATGATAAATCGAATGTAACTTGCAATATAAGATTATATAAGCAATATAAGTACAATTTGTGATATGAACACAAAAGGAAGTTGTTGACGAATCATTTACTCAGATATTCAACAACCAATGTTAGCAAAATTTGTTACAATTATTATTTATTAGAATTAAAGTTACTCTTTACACATATATCGCAAAAATTTTCTTTAAAAAGAAAGGGTGTTTCCAATGTGGAATGTTACTGAATATTCTCAATAAAATATTATACATATTCATCATACAGATATTATCAAACACGATATTAACTGTTGTATCAATAAAAGTAATAATCGATATTCCATTGAATGATAAAAATACCTTTCATCGTACTAATAACATCGACATTCATTATAACAACACGAAATAAAGAAATAAAATAAAAAATAAATTTATTGTTGCATGGTGCAAAAATATATACACTTTTATTGATACAAC